GTAGGGTTAACTCTGTGTTAACATATCCTGTTTCAATGGTAACAGGAGCCACTGACATTAATGTAACTGAGGCTGTGGTAAGGTCACAGATCCAGACATGGCCTTTGATAGTAGCTTAAGCATGCAGGGCACCAGGATTCCTGGTGACTTCACTGGCTACTCAGATCTGTATGGCCCACGCAGAAGCATACTCCTTGGACATGAACATGATTCTAAGTGATGGCCCAGACCCATACCTACATCTATGTGGCCCTTGGTGGCAACACGGACCCTGGACATGACTACAAATCCTGGCTGTCTTTTCAACATGAACCCAGATATGGTCCTAGGATGAAGCCCAGGCCTGGATGTCCCCATAGTCATAGTTGCCAGTGCAGGTCACTCAGATAGGTATGGACCCAACAGCAACATTTCCCCAGGTGATGGGCAGGATTTCATGCATCTACAATGCCATTAATGATAATAGAAGCCTGAGTCAGAAATGCTGCCCCTGACTGCAGCAGGGCCAGGAATACACACTTGGTCCTCAGCAACAGTCCCTGCCCTGGTATCATCATGGTCCTAGGTACAGCACATGCTTCTAAGACACACTGTACTCACTGGTAAAAGGAGTAAAGTATATCAACAGGGATACCCACAGCTGTGTCAGGGCCATATACAAGACAAGGTCCTTGGCAACAGCCAAGCCTAGGACATCATCATGGCCCCAGGTGGCAAGTAGGCCATGGATTTCTTTCATACTCTCTCAGCAAATGTTCTCATTTCCTAAGAGGCTTCAGAGCCATAGTGTTGTGATTCTCATTAACTTGGTGCAAATGATCATTTCATGATATGTGTATAAATAATGCTATAGTATAGAGATGGCTAAATAATGACTACAAGGATATAGCATGGATACATTTCAATCATGCAATGGATATCCACAGAGTTGGCAACACCATCCACATCCAAAGACTTGTGTAGCCCTGGCTGACTGGGAACTCACTGCATCACCCAAGCTGGGTACACAAGAGATTTGGGGAAACAGGACATTCTGATGCTTCTGGAGAGAGAAAGACTATATTTGACCAAATAATTGGTTCGAAGACAGGCATGTTGAAAATCAATTTATATTCATAAAAATACAGTCAGTTTACTAAAAGCAGACATAAAGGGAACAGTCGATATAAACTGTGAGCAGACTTGTAAAAACAACAATAACAACAAAATGAAGAACAAAGAAAACTAAAAAAACAAAGCCAACAAAATCAAACCAAAAACCCAAACTAAATACATTAAGCTAAGCAGCAATTGTTTTTGCTACGGATGTAGCAGCACAGATCTACAGCCTGTGATGGCCTTGGAATCATGGTAGGAAGGCAGTCACCAGGTGGAAAAAGTCTTTTGAAAGCTAGTACAGCCATGTCTCCCCTCCATGTTGTTGTACCCTCACAGTCCATTGAATGTCAGGGTTCTTAGTAATTCTTGTCTCAGGTCTTCTGCATGTCAAACTCCTTTTTGATGCTTTCTTTTCCTTGGAAGTACTGAGTCGACAGACCAATGGGCCTTACTGGGGATGGGACATATGGAGGTCAGCTATTATTTTCCACACTGTGACTTCACTGGAGTCCTAGATTGGAGGTTGTAGAATGTCATGGTCTCAAGGTATGTGTGGTTTCTTTGACCTCCTCAGTTCTTTCAACATCTGCTGTATGAGAAGGAAATGCAATCAAACCAACAAGCAGTCTGGGTGGGCCACAGACTAGAAAGAATCAGGTTCTATTCACATTGGAAGCCAACGTCAAAAGCCCCTAGTCCATTGCACCCACCAATGCTCTGTTTGCTGGGGATGGGAGGCAATGGTGGTTCACTTGCCTGTGAGACTCAGTGATCCTGCTGCAGCAGCTCTGTCTGTAGGAGGCTCTCATCCTGGGCTGTGCCTGGTTCCAACTCTGACTGGAGAGTTTTTGACCTAGAGGAGGAAGGCAGTTAGGGAACAGGTCTGGTGGGGACCTGCTGTGTCAGCTATTCAGCCTGAATGAGCTCTGTTCATGGGATACCCAGCATGAGATTTCAGCTAAGGGCATTTCCTGCCTTCCCCAAGGGAAAAAGGTCAGAGTGAACCTAGGTCTGGATTTTTTTTCAGCTTCTAAAATCTGCTTGAAGATGAACTGATAACAACACCATGCTGGCCATGAAAATACAGTCAATTTCTCCAGGTGTCTAGGTTGTCTACAAGCATCATTTTGGAAAGAACATAACACTTTATGAGTATATGACTATCAGTTCAGGACACATATGAATGGGCTTCACTAGACACCAGGTGAATGTAAACAGCCAGGGAAACTGAATGTGGACCCACTAGGGAACCTATAAACAAAACCTTTGTAGTTTATATTTATTTATACAGCACAGAAATGTTTCTGGGTTCAACTCACTACACCTAAATGTCATTTTACAGTAATGGGATGAACACTACAGAGAGCCTGTAATTAGCAGGAGTGAGCTGCATGCAGATCTGCCCAAAGGCAGCAACTTCTCTCTAATGTGATGATCAGCAGAAAAATCAAGTGGCAGGAGCACACACTGTCCTTCACAACTAACCAACCTCCTGCTAGATTTAGGACACCATAGGGAGATTCATGGGAAGACACAGGGTAAAAAGTGCTGAGAAGATAGCAGAGACCTCAGAAGAGAATAGGGGAGAAAATCATGTTGACTGGGCCAGAACAATTCCCTGAGGTTTTCTTTCCCTCTCTGGGGCTGAGAGCCATACAAATGGCCAGAATACCAAAGAGAACAGAGATCCAATTCCTGGTGACTTACATGGTTCTAAGGGCTCTCCTGCCTTGGTCTCTCACCTCATCTCTAAGACACTGAAGAGATGCTCCATCTTTTCTGCCATTGTCCTTTTCTGGGTGATCAGAATCTTTTGTATCAGCAGGTTCTTCAGTCTTTCATCTAGGCTTTCTTCTTCCTGACCATTAGAAGATTGTGTTCTCAGTGGAGGGTTGCTCACCCACATGCACACACATGAACTCATGAGCACACACAAGTATATGTATGCACACATACATGCATAATGTTACACAGTAACATGCTTAGTTTGCCAGATAATGCTGAAGTAAGGAGCATTCACCAAGGATACTTGAAAAGACAGTAAACTATTGTTGGATGAGAGAGAACACAGCGAGCATGAGAAATAGAAATGTCAGTTATGCCAATGTCTATCCTGAAAACCTACTGCACAGACAGGTGGACCTGTGGGGTCCTGGCCTGTTAGCTAACCCTGCTTAGGAAGTTCCCCAGGCTGTGCAATATAGGAATATTCCCCTTCACAAGAGCACTTGATGGTGTTGGACAAGACCACTAGTCTTGTTCACTGCTTCCCAGTTGCTCCCAAGGTGAGCAACTTTCTCCAAAAAGAGCTCCTTTGAGCAAAGACTGTCTCACTTCAGTCCCAAAAGAAATGAGCTCAGGAAACTAGCAAATCTGTACAATAAGGATCTAAAAGAAACACTGCCTCCCTGTAAGGTGATTGTGGCAGGGATTTGTTTGAGTAACAAAAATCTGACTCTGTCAAGACAAAAGAATTGCATGTATCATTTCATGCTGAACAAGATTCCATGGAAAGACTCAATCCCATTGTGCTTTCTCACTCATTGATGATGGACATATGGACAGATTCTACTTTGAGGCTACTCTGAGGAATGCGGTTACAAACCTGTTGTCTCCTAACTTCTCTGGGGACATCTACTTCATGTTGTAGAATCAACTTGATTCCCTGGGGACTGCAGTTTACTTTCTGGTAAACTGTGTGTGGCTTCTCACTGTGCTGCATCATTTACACCAGCAGCAATCTCTGAGGTTCATTCTCCCAACCCTGCATGAATCTGATTTTAATTCAGAGTGAACAACTTTCCAGAAAAGTAATTTTGGGTGCTGCAGGCACAGCACATGGTGAGTGCTTTAGAACATCATGAGCCTAGGTGGGGTGCACTGAGACTCCATTCTCACCCCACAGCATGGCTATGGGACTTTTGCTGGACTGAGATGCAGCTGGAAGCACACTGCAAGTCACAGACTCTCAATGAATAAAATCTAATCCAAGCTCCAAGGCCAAGGTTAACCGAGCCAAGGTTAGGCAAAGGTGGAACGAAAATGATAGCACGCAATGCAGATGAGGAGAAAACAGGGTACAGAGAAGACAGAGTGAGCCCTCTCACCATTGAGTGTGCAGTCACCATTCACCTAGAGCAGAGAAAGTGCACAAACACTCAACAAGTCTATCCTGCCTCTCAGACACATTGTTTTGTCAAATTGGCCTCCTCCTCACATTCCTGTACCACATTCCTTTGGTTTGCTCCAAAGCCTTTTCTTGCAGACATATTTTCCCCACTACAATAACAGAAAACCCATGAATTACAATGGTTTTGTGTCCTTTGTTTCTAGAGACCTGAGTGGACATAGAAAAAGATAAGCAGCAGTATACATTACATGATGAAAGCAAAATGAGCAGGCACAGTGCTTTGTCAATAAAGTTGGATTCCATACCATTAAATGAGTTTCCTGAGTAAGTGACCATACAAATATTCAGAAATACACACACACCCAAGTGAACACCTCAATGCACCCAAACACATACTTGCACATATAAGGACCCATTCTCACTAACATCCACACAAGCACTTATCCCTACACATGCAGGAAACATGGACAACACAACAGCATGCAGGTACTCAAGGGCACATATGCCCACACAAAGGGACACTACTTTGTCAATAACAGGCAGGACAACCAAACATAGATACCACACACAGAGATGAACAGAAATGAAAAACAGCATACATTCACACACACACACACATGCATGCTCGCACGCACACATGCATGCACACACACACACGCAACATGCATGCACACACAAACACACATATGCACACAAACACTATGAACACAGAAGACTGATGCCTGTCAGAATCTTTTCTGTTGCAGGTGTATGTAGTGGGTACTTCCTGCTGTCTAAAAGGCTCTTACACACAGCTAGGCTCTGCTACCCTGGTCTGCCCTTACTCTTCCTTCTATGAAGTTTACCCATGTTGACTATCACTCATCCCACAGTTTCACTTCACTAAACCAACTGGCTCCTCCACAGAAGTCCTTGAAAGTTCAAGTGAAAGAAAGTAACCCATCGCGAACACCCAGGAAGTGTTCAATAGATTAGAGTGCATATAATATGAATTCAACCCAAATGTCAGTCACAAGGAGGCTAGTGATATCAGCAGAAGGAACGCAGCACTCTGAACAACCATGAGAGGGAATCTGTTCTAAAACATTCTGTTCTAAAACACAACCATGCTCATGAGATAGTCAGTAACACAATGTCAGCAGGGAGATTCACTGTGGTATTTCATGTTGAGGGTACAAAACAAGACAGATGATCCCTTTGGAGGGCACAGTTGATTCATATTAAGCAAAACAGAAATTTTCAGGTTCCCTGAGAGACCTGGGCTCAGGGGAATAAGGGAAAGAACAACTGAGCACAACACCACATGTCATTATCTCGTCTGCAGTCACACCCACCAAAGTACACATCTACACATGCATGCATCACACATAAACCATAAATGATCAGAAAAATGAAGGGGACAGCATGCTGAATGAACAGTTGAATTTAGATTATGCACATCCGGAGTTTCAATGAGACCCACTACAGAAATTCCTAGAGGAGCACACAGCATAGTCAAAATATATTCATGTGATTGGACAAAATGTTCTTTGAAGACTCAATTCTGTCACCTCACCCTCAGCCTGTCAAAGTCCTCCCACATATATGGTCAACCAGTCAGCTCCATATTGGAAATTCCAGGGTGGGAGAACTCTCTAGCACCACCCACAGAAAACAGGGCTGACAAGACGATATTCAGGTCTGTCAATGTGAACCAAGAGTTGAGCAAAGGGAAGAGAACACATTAGGGTGTAGAAGAAAGGAGAACACCACATCCCTTATAGTTGACAATGAGAACTACTCACTTGGCATTGGCATTGGGATCCAGTCTTTGCAAACTGCTTCCTACCTGTGATTTTATGAGACCCCTGGAAAGTCAATGAGCCACAGGCCCTGACCTCATCCATGAAAGATCTGTGCCATTCCCTAATAGCTACCTGCATAGCAGCCCTCCTGATATAATGGCATGTAGATGTGTGATATGTGATTGAGCCATCTCTCTGAATATACTGTGGATTCTAGCAGAGCAGGAGAGTTTGCTTTCCAATCATTCAATGTCTTACCAGAGGATAACTCTATAGAGAAACTTGTGATTACAGAAATGAACAAGTGGATGGTATTAGGTAGAACAAATTGGGTAGGTGCATGGTTGTTTCTATGTTCATAGTGTGACATGTGGACTATGTGCCCCTACTGCCTCAGTCTACCTGATGCTGCTCAGCACAGGGAACACAGATCTTCTCCTGGACCTCCTTAAAGAGCTTCTTCACCTCCTCACAGGTCTCTCGCAGTGCAGTCTGTTCCTGACAGAGCTGTCTCTTCTCCATTCTCAACTCATGGACATTGTTTTTCACCTGAGTCAAATCTCTTAGGATCAGGCTATGGAGGTAACTGAACAAACATCCAAAAATAGTAAGCACCAGCCAGCCTCCATTTGCCACCCATACCTCCAAGTACACCCCCACTGCAAACCCCAGTCCCTCAGATAGCCCAAGACTGGAACTCACAATTAGCCAAGTCAGATTCACTCAGAGGGAGGCCAAAAACAAAGAATAAGCAAATTCCAGAAATTTCCAAACTAAGTTTCAAAACTCTGGCAACAAAAGCTATACTATGCCCTTGATAAGAGAATGAAGCCCACGTCTGTGCTTACTGTTCATGGTATTGGGAGAGCATCAACAGTAGAGGATAAACACTCTCTGGCAGAAGGCCAAAGCCCCAAGCAGAGTAAATTCTGTCTACAGATCCCATGGATACCATCTCTTTGAATACACACCAGAGTCTCAGAGTTCCTGAACTGCCTGGAATCACCTTCAAGGTACAAACCATTTTTTAAATGTAGGGACTCCTACCTAGGACATCACTGCGAGGGCCTCAGTGTCTTTCACACTTAACAAAAAATTTGAAGAGGCACATGTCTATGAGCCAAAATGGAGTTGATGCTAAAAGCCAGACAGGCTAGGACAAGCCCTCACTTTGTGTCAAAGACAAAGAGAACAGAATCAGCCCCTACAAAATATATCAGGCACTTACCTGTAGGATTCCTTCTCCTCAGTCAGCTGCTTGCACTTATTCAAGGCATCACTGATCTCCAGGGGCAATTTCTGTAGGTCTGACATCACCTGCTTATGCTCCTTTTTCATAATCTCAAAAGCATTCAGCCTGTGTTAAGACATGGCCCCAGCAGAAAAGAAACCCATGAACACAAGTCTCATGGATCACATAAAATCAGGCTGTCCTAGACTACCACAGTAGATGCCACAGCCTGGCAACTATATTCTGGGGCCTCCTGGAACTTATTATAATTCCCAGGCTATAACAGGAAGAGGATCTAAGGGAGTTATCCAATGCTGCACCAGCACCCTCTCTGGGCTTGGAACTATTGGTTAGCTCTTTATGAAGTTCCTAGGAGTCTGTGCCACATATCTGGAACCACCAAACTTTTGTTGACATTTCTCCTATATTCAGAACAGGCATTCTCACTCCTGTGTGCCTATTGGTACACAGAGGACCAGAGCACACAATCAGCATTTCCAGGGAGGAGTCCCAACTTCAGGGTAGCTTTATAAACTCTACAGGGCATTCCAATGTTACACCAAGGTGAGCACAGTGACCAGGAGATATGCTGATCAAAGTGTGGCTACCTGAGCTATGAAGTGGCATTCCCTGGAAACTATGAGAGTGGAAAAACCTCAGGCCATGACATTATCACCAGGCTCCCAGGAGAACACACACACCCACACACACACACACACACTCACACACACACACACACGGCTTCTACACTCCCCTCACATACCACCTGGATGCCCATTAAGTGCAAGGAGTGGCAGTGTCTAGAGTATTAAGCTAGAAACCATAGAGGAGCAGTGATGAGATACAGGTCTTCCAGTCACAAGCTGAGATGGATGAATGTGACCAGAGCCCTCCTTCTGCTGCCAGGAGCTTTTAGCACACAATCATCTGCTTATCGACTACAAAGACTAGACACAAACTCACATGCATAGTGTGTCCCTCAAGCCAGCACCTGTCAGGGCCTTTTTAAATGCATGTTGAGAGTTTACACACTACTGTCCATATCCCCAGACAGTGACTCAGGACACAGGCTCTGCTTTTCATTTGCAGGAAGCAGAGGAGCCTGTGCCCACATCTCAATACTACCCAGGTTCACAGTTCTGCTTCTCTGATGCACTAAGAAAAATTAGTTTAGGTACCAGAACACTCTGAAGGGGTAGCCTCTTGAACTCAGGAAGCCTTGCTTGACACCATGGGGTCAAGAAGGTCAGGAAGGAACTGGAAGCAATGACTACCTGTTGTTCAAATTTTTCTTGGTGTAACTGGCCAGGATTGCTCTCAGCTCCATTTGCTCATATTTTGTACTCTGTAGCTTAATGGTAAGTTCCTCCAACTTCTCCATCTGCTGGTCCTGCTCAGTGACAGTGGAGTTTTGGGATGGTGCCTCCTCTGTAGTCCCTGCAGGTAGATAAAGACAAGTGAACTGGAATCCTTGAATGGCATAGGGCCAGGAGAGTCTATGCTGAGGACCAAGTCGAAGCCCAATGAAGAGGAATTGCTAGGGGCCCAGTGAGGGCACCAGAGAACAGGGCAGCTATGCTCACACAGGTTTCCATGAGCTATGACTCTGACTTCAAACACCATGTCTAGTCATGTACCTCATTCCCTGATTCAGTCCCCTGTCCCAGGATTGCATAAGCTGCCCCACCCATGTATATTTGGTGGACAGTGTCACCTCATATTTCATGTTGTGTATGTAAGTCCTGTTGTGTCTAGAGCTTAGCAGCACTAAGTGCTGATCACATGTGTCCAGAACAAAAGCATCTGAATGTCGGAGGCCTTGGTGCATGGACAAGGGAAGGTTCCCCCTTCATATAAGCCTCAGATTCCCATGGAAACTAGAATGAAGGGCAGCAACACACCACCTTGAATGGGACAGATTATGAGCCACTTTTTGTTCTTGCTGGGCTTCCTTTCCTCTCAAAATAAGATTAAAGATCTCACAGGAAAGCACCCGTAGTTTTGACAGTTCATGGCTCTATCACACTAACCATCAGAAACATTAACTCTGGGCCTTCTCTGATGTAACCCAGAGAAGCAAGATAAGCCCATTGATTCCCAGATGCTCCCAGATATGAGTCCATCCCCACTGGAAGACTTATCTCATGTTGCACCTCTTCCAGGAAACTCCCTATCCACTGACCAGGACTCACTGTGCCTTCCTCAGAACCATTTATTTCTCCATGTTTTACACTGACACTGAAGGTCACCTTCCTTTTGTCTCCCTCAGGCTCCCCATGTTCTCAGTTCTCTCTCCCAAGCATACAGCTCAAGCATGCTAACATGTCTATGGACACTGAAAGTATACCCCACAGTCACTTGGTGTTCCCAGAGCACTGGTGAGATCATAGGGAACACCAAAAGTCTCTCCATAATACAATAGAGTTGTCCAGTTGTCCAGAGAAGGAACTATAAGGGTCACCAGAAGCCTTCACCTACCTACCAAATAGATCTGCAATTCACAAGAAGCCATAGTGCTCTTCCCAGGAAGTACCACAGATACATAAGGGAAGGAAGACCTTCACCAACTTCTCATTACATATCAGAGATCTCTCTCTGCTTCATTAGAATAAATTCACTACTTCATTTATGGAAGTTGAAGACTCACTTGCATAAATATCCCAGGAAATGGCTCATCACCTTCTAGAGATCTCTAATCAATAACAGGAGAAATAAAGTTTTCTAGGTAAATAATTCAAGATGGTTGGGAAGAAAATTCAATCCCCTGAAGTCATCAAGCACATTGTGGAGGATCCACATGGCTGGTAAAATATGTTTATGTGGTGAGGATTGCAGATGTCCTGGGAGAACAAGGTAAGTCCAATAATTGATGAAAATTACATTAAAACTTCACCAGAAAACTTTCAAGCCCTCATGACTGATCAAATATGAGATCAGTCTGTGACAGGTCAGGCTAGAATCACTAATTACTAGGACTTCCAGGTGAGCCCTCAAAACAAGAGATACCACTACCGTGAAGAGTGATGGTGAGCCTTTTCTGCACTGCTGTTTTAGGAAAGATGAATTGCTATTGAGAAGTCACAGAGAGATATGCAAAGGAATTTTCAGAAAATCGAATTCGTCATACTCATGGGGATGTATGCAGTGATTCACTGCCATGGTTCTTTTCCTAGAGCTACAAAAAAGACAAATTCCTTGATCATGAGTCACTTGTTAAAATGTCCATGTCCTTAGGAAAGGGGACACAGCAGGTCTAAATTCCAATATCCATAGGAGCATGAGAAGAACAGGCAGATGTCACAAAAGGAGATTCCTTGGCCCTAGACCTATCCAGAGCCCCAATTCATACTTTTGAATTTACTGGTAGTGCTGAAATGAAGAGTTAGCACCATGCTCAACCTGGATACAAAATTCACTGTAAGTCTGGATATGGCTTCAAAAGTGGGCTTGGTCAACCCCAGAACAAATGAGAGAATTGGGATACACTAAATCCATTCTGATTTTATCACACTGACAACCATGTTAGACAAGGTTAGGTGCCTCATTAATACCCAATTTTAGAAATCAAAGAATAGTACCTGCCCTACACACCACCTCATCTCAGTCAAACCTGACACACTGAAGGATGTCAGCAAGTAATTGACAGATGAGACTTTTCCCTAGCAGGTTCTGAAAGACCAGACTTGAGTCCTTTCCTCTGAAGATTTCAGTTATTTCTTAGGGAGATATGTGTCTCAGAAGTTACCTAGTTTCTTATGTTTCCCTGCACCAGATGGCCCAGGGTTCAGACCCCTAAAGCTTATTCACAGCTACATAGTGTATATCCTTGGCTTCAGAGCCTGCAGTTATGTGTTTTAAGAAGCCTGGATATAATTGCTACTGTCACATTCACTCAGGTAGTATAGGGATGGTGACATCAGTTACTTGATGTTTCTGACTCTTCTGTTAATGAAGATGTCACCCAGGGGCATATCCTAGTCAAAAGATTCACAAACTCATTCCTACTAACAGCCTAGGACACCTAGAGCTGGCAGGAAGGAGCAGTCTCTGTCCATGTTCACTGGCACTAACAGCTCTCAGGCAGAACTGGAGACCCGTGTGCCACTCACCTCTGGGAAGTCAGAAACCTTAGGGGTCACTGGGAAACAGAAGCACTTGGTGCCTCAGCCATGCTAGGGGATGTGATGTAAAGTGTAACAATCTTACCCTTTACCAAGGATCACTTCTTTCCCTATAATCACTGTCACTCAACCTATAGGACTCCAATGGAGGCAAAGGACAGTAAAGGTAATGAAATATCATTAATCCCCTTGTCTCCTTCTCCACTCTCAATGAAGCACAGTGTTCCCAGCACCAAGTCATCTTGTTAATTTCTGACTCTATCAAACTAACCATAAGGAATCCTTCATGCTCTTCCACACTTAGGAAAATAGAGAATCAGGATAGGTCTATTGATTCCAGAAGCTCCAAGTTCCCGAGCCTTATCCCAGGAAGGCACAAGGCTGTCACATACAGAAAGATGTGTCCCTTCCTTGAACTTACTGTGTCTTCCCCAGCTCCATCTAATTCTCCATGTTTTCCGGTGAGACCGAGGGCCAGCTTCCTTCTTCCTCACTGTGGTCTCTCCACGTTGTCCATTCCTCCTCCCAAGTATACTTCGCAGTCTGGAAAACATGTCTGTAAATGAACCTTACAGGCAGACCGTCCTAAAGGCAGTTGGTGTTGCTACAACAAGTGACATCATGGGATTCCAAGATATCTCCAGGATACAATAGAATTTCCAGGAGGGACTGCTGATGTCACGGGGCACAGCCTTTGCTTTCTCACTTATTCATTCTCCCAGAACAGTCCAGAAGATGGGGTTTCCTTTCCACCAGCCTCTCCTGTGACACAGGGGAAGCCACTCAGCACCTCCTCTTTCCAAAATAAGAGATTTCTCTCTGCTTCATTAGAATCTTTTCACTCCTTCAGCCATGGAGTTGAATGCTCACTTTATAAACCCTGTCCAAGAATAGCCCTTCCCCTCTTTAATATTTACATCAAAAATATGAGAAAATAAGCATGCCAAGAAATTAGGTCAGGATGATATGGAGGAGGAGGGTTGAGTACTTCCAATTGAAAGACCAACGTAAGAAGCCTAAGGTTAAGGAAAGGTGGCCATTAGAAATATGGAAGCAGAGGCAGACACCCACAGCTAAACATTGAACTCAACTCCCAGAACCCAGTGACAGAGAGGAAGGAATGAACAGCAAATGAGTCACACGACTGGACTGGTGAAATCCACAGAAACTGCTGACCTGAACAATGTTTAGCTCTTGACCCTAGACTGATGGCTGGGAGTCCAGCATGGGAGTGATCCAGACCTCCTGAATATGGTTGTCAGTGAGGAGGCCTGGCCAATATATGGGGCCTTGGGCAGTTGATCAGTATTCATCCCTGTAATAGAAATGGAATCTGGATGCCCCTCCCACAATGAGGGATGCTTTCTCAGCCTGAACTCTTGGTGAAGGGCCTAGGCCATGCTGTTAATGAAATGGCAGACTATGAATATTCCCATGGAGGACCTCACCCTCTTTGGGGAATGGAGTGGGGATTGAGTGGGGGACTACGGGGGTATGGTTGAGGGGGACAGGGGACGAAGGGAGGGAGAGGGAACTGGGATTGATAAGTGAAGCAAACTTGTTGCTAATTTAATTTAAAAATTTTATAATAAAATTTGTAAGTAAGCTGAAAATGTTTTGAGACCCACATTACTCTGAACTGTTACCTCTACATGCCTGGTATGTTAGTCAGAGATGTCTAGAGTAACAGAAGTTATGAAATGAATCTCTCTATAGAAAGGGAATTTGTAAGAATAGTTTACACTATGTGCCTTACCAAATCCAACAATGGCTGGCTGTGAATAGAAAGTGTTAAGAGTCCAGTAGTTCCTCATTCCACAAGAATGGATGTCTCAGCTGTCTGCAATGTATGCTGAAATCTTAAAGACGTAGACTCTAATGGCAGTGAAGGAAGGGATGTGCTAATAAGTCACGTACAAGCAGAAAAAGAGTCCAACTTTCCTTTTTCCATGTCCTTTTAAAGGCTTCCAGCAGAAAGAGTGGTCCAGATTACATCTGGATTAAAGATCTAAATGAAAGGTGTGATTTCCTATCTCTAAGATCTATACTAACATAGTTTTTCCTTCTTCACATTATGCATAATTAACCCACCAATGTGTCTTGTATTTTGAGGGTTTTAGTAAGTCCCAGATATAGTCATGATTACAACCAAGACTATCTAATCAAGTTCTTAACCTCATCTATTAGTATTCTTGAGCAAATGTCTCCATTAGATATTGAAAGTAAGGATTGGCAATAATCAGCAGGTACATGAATATGCTGTAGATCTCATGGTCATGATGACTTTAGTGGCCACATTATGGCCATGGATGACTAAAATAGGATGAAATACCAGTCTTTGTTTTCTTTAGTTAGAGGGGAGCATCTAGAAACCCAGTATATGAAGTCTTTGATCTATTTCCGTAATTGAAGGTTTAACACTAAAATAATTATGTTGTGTTGGTAGTAACTGGTGTAAAAAGGGGTCCATAGGTGGGAAATCGTCTCTTTAAAGAAAAAGGAATAAGGCATGAAATGACAAGCACACTGGACCTGTCAGAAAGAGTGGGGTGTCTGGGCCCATGTGATTTTTGCCTTGAACACCTCCATACCTAAAAACAGGAGGAATTGGAGTGACTTCTGTGTGGTCTCATGGCAAACAATAGCTAGAAACCTGTTATTAGTTTCAAATATAAAAGATTTTTTAGGATTTGAAATTTCTCTGAGGGTCAGAGAAGCAGGATTTAGGCTACAGGGCCAGAAACAAATCATACGCCAGAGATAACACCACTGACACTACCATGATGAGTGTGGGCACTGCACTGTGTGTCACCAATATTGGATAGACAATGTGCCTGCTGCTACTTCATAAACTTGTGACATTGTGGCTCAAAGAAATGGGACAGAGATGTCACCGAAAATCAATCAGATTGGACTGTTCCATTTCTTTAGAACTTAAGCTGTCATGCGTTTGACTGATGAGGCTTGTATTTGGGACCTAGACTCTGTAGTAAAGTGTAGGGCTTCTGAAGGGAACTCCTCCACTAAAACACAGGCAGAATGGTCCAAGGTGCTGACAACCAATAGCCACTCCCCATGTCCACACTGCAGCCTCCTGAAGGGGCTTTAAGGATCAAATTTGCCAAGTGTTCCTGTGTGGCTTGGACATAGTATCACTCATTATTTATAAATATGCTATCATTTTCTGACATTAATTCTTCCTACAACTGAAATTTCACTTTGGACATACCATTCTATTCATGGGAGGTCAAATTTTTGTGCGGTATGGGGAGGTTTATGTTTTCCACTGGAGGACTTTATGTTGACAGCTAATCATTGCTGTGTACTTGACACGTTGTTGAAGAACTGACTGCATCTGACAGGCTTGCAGGCATGTTTCTTTGGCATTTTCTTGATTGCTAATTGATGTATGAGGGCTTAATCCTCCGTGGGTAGCACCATCCCTAGGAATGTGAGCCTGGGCTATAGAGGAAAGCTAGCTGAGCAGAGCAGCAATCAATTTTAGTCTATAGTTTCAAGCCCCTCTGTTGGAATCTCATCTTGACTTCACTTGATGATGGACTGTAACATGTGAGGTGAACAAACCCTCCACTTTCCCTGATTGGTTCTTTTGAGTTTTATTACAACAATAGAAAACTAACCAGAACATTTAATGTATCTCAGGACATGGTATGATGATTCCATCCTTCTCCTGTCTTGTCTGCACCCTCTTTGATTTCCAATTAGAGAGGTTCTGGACACTGCAATCTGTTGAAATGGTATTCCACCAACTCACATGCTTACATAACTCTATAGAAGTAGTTTTAATTTTTATATCTTATATGATGTGTTTCTCTCTAATGACACATGGATCCCTGCTTTTCCTTTTTTAAACTTTCTCTAGTTCTCCATCTTTTCCACTGTAAAATTAGTTTTGCTCATAATAGTACTTTATAGTCAGATTATTAAGTTCCACATAAATGGGCAATTTATTTTATGAATGTTTTCTAATTCACCATTCATTTCTTTAGTATTATTAATTTAGCAAAACTAACCTTTTACATTTTCTACTTTATCCATAATACTAAACCTTCCATTCATTTAAGTCTTGAATGTCTCTCAGAACATCAGCTTCAGAAGTATTTTATGTATCCAAGATTGTTCTTGGGTACTTCATAGCTGTTATTATTAATAGTATGCTTTTAAAATATCACAATACAAAATGCTTTTTATGTATTTATAAGCCAATAGTTATTGGAATTATCTCCCTTAATTTCTCTGTCATTTGTATACATGTAGGCGACTGACTTTTGTGTGTTAATTTTGCAAACTTTCACTTTTATTAATGTATTTATCAGATTAGGAAACTTAAGACAAATTTTAGCTTTTGTGTTTATATTCATATCATCTGTAATACAGAAATTTTATTTTTTCCTTTTCCATTTGTATCAGTTGTCCTAGTGCTCTAGCTGTGTGTTCAAGTACTATATTGAACAGCGATGGAAAGAGTGGACATCCTTGTCTTGGTCCTGATTTTGTGGAACTGCTTTCAGATTTTCTCTGTTTAGCATGATATTGCTGAGAGCTTGTTGTATAATGACCATTGTGTTGAAATAAATCTTCTATAATCCTATATTCCCAAGGATTTTTATCATGAATGGATGTTGGATTTTTTCAAAAGCCCTTTTCTCATCTAATAAGATGGTCATGTGGTTTCTTCTTTTATTCACTTAATGTTTAGGAATATATTTGTTCATTTTTGTATTTTAAATTATCTTTAAAGGTCTGAGGTTTAAACAACATGAATATGTGAATGATTTTTAAAATTTTTATTTATCTTCTCATCTTATATACCCGTTCCCCCTCCTACCCATCCTTTTGCTCCCTGCAACTCCACAACCCACGCCCACTTTCATCCCTAGAAAGAATAAGGCCTTTCATGGGGAGCCAACAAAACCTGGCATAGTAGGTTGAGGCAGGACCAAGCCCCTCCCCAATGCATCAAGGCTGAGCAAGACATCTCACCATAAGGAATAGGCTCCAACAAGTCAGTTCATGCACCAAGGACACCCGGTGGTCCCACTGCCAGGGATCTCCCAAGCAGACCAGACTACACAACTGTTGCCACATGCAAAATTCCCAGCTCAGTTCCATGGAGGCTCCACAACTGCTGGCCCAGTGTTTGTCAGTTTCCAGAAGCTCATTTCAGCTGTCTCCAAAATTTCCCCTTCATAGTCTTCTATGATGGATGATTTCTTTTGATGTGTTCCTGAAGTTGGTTTACAAGTCTTTTATTTGAGAATTTATCCACCAGGTGGCAGAGCATTTCTGTTGCTGCAATATTAGGGATGATTTGTTTGACCTCTGCAAGAGCAGTTTCAGTCAGCAGACTTCTGTACAGACATCTGAAAAACCTGCAGTGGTCTGGAGACAGAGGAGGTGAGATGACCAGAGAAACATCTAGCCTGACAGAAGGCCACAGTCCCCAGTGAGAGCTATGATGTCACTGACTGGACCTTTTGTCCTGTGATCGTGTCTACAGCTGAACTGTGAGTAAGAGCATTTGGAAACAAGACATTTTTGTCAATATTCATTGATCATTCTGAGGAGCAGACTTGTTCCTCCAGGTTG